CACTCGTTAATTTGGTTAGCCAGTGTTTCTAAAACTGTAAAATTTCTATTTCAATATTTTGTAATTTAATTAAATAAATTGTCCTTTTATTAACATGATCATGGAAGTTGTTTGGTAAAATGTTTGTTAAAATGTTTTGTTTTATTAATTGTGTGGTTTGAAAGTTATTTTGACATAAATTGTCATTATATAGACGAATTTCGCCTCAGATCGGCACAAAGGAAAGATAACAATAACTCGGGACTGTGATAACGCACAAAGAGGAATTTCTTTGAACGAAATTTGTAAAAATTTATCAAAAGATCAAGAACATAATTGCTAACATAACTGACATTATTTTTGGGTTTTAAAACAATTCTTTAAACATTTGGTATTACGCTACAAAAAAGATTACTTTCAGCATAACAGGAAGTATAGCAATATTTTGAAAATAAAATTATTAAAACCAAATCTTTGTAAAAAAGCATTGCATTTCAAATTGTCCTTTTTGTTTAAAACTCTTCCTTGAGTTTCCATCAACATTGAAAGACACTTAGAATTACACACGTATAAACCAAGGACCGCAAAAGAAAAGAATGTTCTTCTGTCCCTAAAGTTTACATCTTTTTTGAGTTTTTTTTACTTTTTAAGATTAACTCCAGATAACTATCGCCTAACCGTAGTAGACGCTTTTATTATTTTCGTAACTACGTTTCCTTTGTAGAGTTTGGTATTTTAAGATCCATTCCCTTACCATGTCTATTGTTGGAGTCTTACAATATTTAAAAGAAAAAGTATAGAATCAAGCATCTTCATAAACTAAAATGAGGCAACAAAAAGAAAAAATGTGTACATAATTTAGAAACTGACAATTTAATATGAAATAACAGAAAAATCATACAAAACTCATCTAATATATTCTTTAAAATAAATCTAGAGCAATTGCAATGCAGTAAGTTTGTATGAAACATTTTTTTTTCATATTTTAGTATTGTGACTTGAACATTTCAACGTGAATTAATGCAAATACTGTGTTGGCGGGGAAAAGCGACTCTGTAATTACGCTCTTGGGTAAAATCTCTGAGTGAGCAGGAAGTTCAGGGAACAAGCGCACGGCGGATATTATCAACGGTAGTGTGAGTCGTATAAAAATATTTAGAAGTGTAGATATGTTATAACTTTTAATATTTAAAATTTAATATGTAAATCTCTTTAAATTTGAATATTTTCATTTAAAATTTAGGCAAAGATAACATTAGTTAGTCTAAAAATTACTATATCCATTCCAAAAATAAGTAGAAATGAAGTTGAACCTATGTTTATAGATTTTTCTCAGTTCACTAAATTTTGAAATAAGTAAAGTAAAATTACGATTGCAATAGATACTATAAGTAATGTGAAATTAAGGTAAAATCTTTTACTCGAAATGGATTAAAGGTGACTTTAACTTGAAAGTCATATTAACTGACTAATCCGCTTTCACGTAAACTTTAAACACGCATCCCTGTCGACCTACATTTCTCACAATGGATATGATCTTTTAACGCGCCGCTTTGTCTCCGTGCAAGCGTGTTGATGTAGAACATAGCATGTTCTAATAAGTCTTAATGCATGTTCTGTATATGGTTAAGCTTTGATATCCTAGTATATACATTCAAGCGAATAATATCAAGCGACACGTTATTGAGTCACATGTCTTAGATTAACATTAGTATAAGGAAGATGTGAATATTCTATTATGTGTAAGAAACAATGTTGAAAACGATTATGATTATAATTTAATAACGAACCCAAATACAGATGATGTTAAAACTCTTCTAATATTCCAGTATTAGGATCGGTTAGTGGTTACAAGAACAAGAACTATTGTTCCTTTAAAGTTGTATTGTAAGTTGTCCTATGATAAAGTTTTATAGCAAAAACCACGGACTGTATTGATAAAAAGTACAGACTTTTAATAACAAGGTACCTCTGACATTCAACTACTCAAATTTATAATAAAATATAGAATATTAGAATATAGGAATTAGGTAAGAAACCATTCCTTTTTTATTTAAAATCCCCTAGTTGCTATGATGTGCTCCTAAAAATTATATCCTCTTTCTAAACCCTAAAAACAGGCTTATTTAATATACACGCTCAGCGTTTATAACCTTAAATTAATGTTAGTTAAGCTCGCTACGAGATTTCCATACCTCGGACTTCTCCCTAATGAAATTCCCTTACCTGCCATATTACTTTGCCTCCCTTTGCCTATATAAACCGCTACTGAATTTGTGTTACATCAACATACTTAATATATTATACTTCCGGCGCTTGTTTCTGTACAGAGAACCCTTTGTGCTGCGTTAGTACACAGATTATGAGATGCGTGGATTTTAAAACTATGTTTGACTACGCTCTTAGTGCCGTGTAATTGCTAGTTTATGAGACTAAAATGTTTAATTCTGTCATCTCACGGAATTATGTTTTTTTTTAAATAAAGCTTTATTAAAAAATCTTTCTAAAAGTTTGAGAGCCACTGACGTTTGTGACAAAATGTTTTATCTTTTATGCACACATGTTTAAATGTTGTGTGTGTTTTAGACGTCGTTTAATGTTTATCGAAAAACGTAAAGATAAAATTTATGATAAATACATGAATAAGATACAATTTCTACGATAATATTACAAGAGCGACATCTATTTACGCAAATACTAATCTAGTTGCTATGTAATCGAATTGTTGTTAATCAGAATACGTCATTAAAGATTTAAATTTTAATTTTTTTTTTAAATTCTGTAAATAATTTTTATTTTTATTATAATCAGTTTTTAAATAAAAGTTACTTTTTAAATTATTAAATACCCTATTAACAAATCATTAGGTTTCAAACAAAACAGGGCAATGATTTTGTAAAAGGGTACGGAAATAAAGGCTATAAAACGACGGCCATTCTTCCAGACATTTTGATCCCTTTTAATAGGCAGATATGTCGAACCACATGCTTAAACTGATTAGGTATAATTAGCTATACGGATTTTATAGGTCTTTAAAAACTTTAGACTTTACATCTAATTTAGATACTGACTGGTGATAAAAGAGTTTACTTTGTGAAAAAAATATGCTTCAGTATTGCCATATACGAAAATTAATTCTTCTTTCTGGTTACAAGACTTAATATTTGATGTCAGTGTTGCTATATCTCAAAGTAAAATGTTTTGAGGTCATGTTGCCGTCATTGGAATTTATGTCATTTAGTTATTAGTTTGTAGTTAATTAATGTACGTGTGCCTACCCAATATGCAATACCTGGCTTTAATTAGTTTAAATACTTAGGGCTATAAAGGATGCCTATCTCGATATTAATTTACGAAGGCTACCGTATACATACACAATTATTACTAAAGAATTTTCCTATTTACTATAATCAATATTTTATTATGTTTAGACACCAAAGAGGTTTTACAGTTAGATTTTTAATACATTTTTTTTAAGTAGGAAAGTCATTGGATGCGCTATGCGGAGGACCGTATACTGTGGTAGACAAAGGCTGATGAAATTGTATCTTTTGCTTATTGTATTTACTTTCCTAAACATCTTTTAGATTTTTTAATATTATTAATAAAGGTATAAAGTGCGGCTACTTATAGCTTGTTTTACTAAATACCTTTCTTTAGTTCCAGAAGGTTAAGAACCAAAGTGGCCAGTACTAAATTTTTAAGTACAGTATGCATTTTAATTATAAGGTAAAAAATACTAGAGCGATGTATACTATAAAAATATGCGCCTATAGCTGCTGTACAAATTTTTGGTACGTTAATTAAAATAAATAGTTAAAACTAAATCCACTCACCTCAGCTTTTCGCCTAATTCAAAAGTATAGTTAGTTCCTGCAAATAAAAAATTGACTTATAAAAATGACATAGAATAAAATACTAAACTTAAAAAATATGGAAATCTTAGTTACTAAAAAGTTGCAGAATTTTAAAATTTCCGTATGTAAACTACTGACTTTATTTGATTTATTTTATCGGTTGCAAAGAAACGTATAAATAGGGTGTAAAAACCACAAAACAGGTCCCATATTCATCTGCATTACGGAAAGGATAATCCGGAAAATACATAGACACCCCACAAAACCGGTTGCGGCCGGACAAATCCGGTAATAACCGCCCGATAAACCGGCCCGCAATCTCAATGGCACTTTGATGTTGTGGATTTCTGTATATTTTCAGTTTTGAAACTTTAAGTACCCTTAAAAGGAACGATTGTGGCCGCTGAAGGTTTTTAAGAACCGTATTTAATATTTCTATACCGGACATTTAGGTATTTAATTTATAACGCTGGGTGAAATTCAACATTTCCGAGATACAAAAAATATTAAAAAGAACTTCTATAATAATACTTTAACTCAATTGAGAAAACAGAGATAGTCCGTCCTTTTTCAAATAATCCTAAATAATTCCTAATTTACTATTAATTTCTACCTAAAATTAATCAGAATAGCTCATAATTATTTAGCTTGCTTGTTAATCCTACAAAGGCTTTGATGTCTCTATGGGATTAACGGATATTCAAATAATTAATTTTAATTATAAATCTATTAAAATAAGTAGATAAAAGTGTACAAAAAATTCTAGATGAAAATTTTAATCCGATTAATTTCTATAATCCTATCCCCGCGGC